TGGTTGGGGTATGGGGCTCTGATTTGGGGTTATGGGGACATGGGTTTGGGTATGGGGCTCTGCTGTGGGGTTATGGGGCTATGATGTGGGGTTATGGGGCTCTGCTGTGGGGTCATGGGGTCATGGTTGGGGTATGGGGCTCTGATTTGGGGTTATGGGATCATCAGGGGGGTATGGGGCTCTGCTGTGGGGTTATGGGGTCATGGTTGGGGTATGGGGCTATGATGTGGGGTTATGGGGTCATGGGGGTATGCAGCTCTGATTTGAGGTTATGGAGTGATGGGTTGGGGGATGGGGCTCTGCTGTGGGGATATGGGGCTATGATGTGGGGTTATGGAGCTCTGCTGTGGGGTTATGGGGCTCTGCTGTGGGGTTATGGGGTCATGGTTGGGGTATGGGGCTCTGATTTGGGGTTATGGGGACATGGGTTTTGGGTATGGGGCTCTGCTGTGGGGTTATGGGGCTCTGCTGTGGGGTCATGGGGTCATGGGTTGGGGTATGGGGCTATGATGTGGGGTTATGGGGTCATGGGGGTATGCAGCTCTGATTTGAGGTTATGGGGTGATGGGTTGGGGTATGGGGCTCTGCTGTAGGGTCATGGGGTCATGGTTGGGGTATGGGGCTCTGCTGTGGGGTTATGTGGTCATGGGGGGGTATGGGGCTCTGATTTGGGGCTATGGGGTCATGGTTGGGGTATGGGGCTCTGCTGTGGGGTTATGGGGTCATGGGGGGGGTATGGGGCTCTGCTTTGGGGTTATGGGATCATCGGGGGGATATGGGGTTCTGTTTTGGGATAATGGGATCCTGGGTTCAGGCAACAGGATCCTGGGTTGGGGTCATTGGATCCCGTGGGGACATGGGGCTGAGCTTTGGGGCTATGGGATCACGAGCTGGGCTGATGGGATCCCAGGGGGATATGGGACTGTGGTTTGGGATAATGGGATCCCAGATTGGGGTCATGGGATCCCAGGGGGATATGAAGCTCTGCTTTGGAGTAATGGGATCCTGGGTTGGGATAACCGGATCCCAGGGCAGTATGGGGTTTGGTTTTGGGGTAACGGGATCCTGGGTGAATCTGGGACTCTGGTTTGGAATCACAGGATCCTGGGGGGATTTGGGATCCTGGGTTGGGATATGGAGCTCTGGTTTGGGATAACGGGATCTGGTCTGGGAAGCTGGGATACGGTATGGGGCGCCAGGATCTGCTTTGGGATCCAGGATCTGGCTTGGCACATTGGGATCTGCTTTGGGATCTGCTTTGGGATGCCAGGATCTGGTCTGGGATCTGGTTTGGAACGCCAGGATCTGCTTTGGGATCCAGGATCTGGTTTGCAATCTGCTTTGGGATGCCAGGATCTGGTCTGGGACATTGGAATCTGCTTTGGGATCTGGTGTGGGATGCCGGGATCTGCTTTGGGATATTGGGATCTGCTTTGGGATCTGCTTTGGGATGCCAGGATCTGGTCTGGGACATTGGGATCTGCTTTGGGATCTGCTCTGGGATGCCAGGATCTGGTTTGCAATCTGCTCTGGGATGCCAGGATCTGGTCTGGGACATGGGAATCTGCTTTGGGATCTGGTTTGGGATGCCGGGATCTGCTTTGGGATCTGCTTTGGGACACTGGAATCTGCTTTGGGATCTGGTTTTATTGGGATGCCAGGATCTGGTTTTGGATCTGCTTTGGGATGCCGGGATCTGGTTTGGGACATTGGGATCTGCTTTGCGATCTGCTTTGGGATGCCAGGACCTGGTCTGGGACATGGGAATCTGCTTTGGGATCTGGTTTAGGATGCTGGGATCTGTTTTGGGATCTGCTTTGGGATGCTGGGATCTGCTTTGGGATGCCAGGATCTGGTTTGGGATCTGGTTTTGGACGCTGGGATCTGCTTTGGGATATTGGGATCTGCTTTGGGATCTGCTCTGGGATGCCAGGATCTGGTCTGGGACATGGGAATCTGCTTTGGGATCTGGTTTAGGATGCCGGGATCTGCTTTGGGATGCTGGGATCTGCTTTGGGATCTGCTTTGGGACATTGGAATCTGCTTTGGGATCTGGTTTTATTGGGATGCCAGGATCTGGTTTGGGATGCCGGGATCTGCTTTGGGATGCCAGGATCTGGTCTGGGACATTGGAATCTGCTTTGCGATCTGGTTTGGGATGCTGGGATGTGGTTTGGGATCTGGTTTGGAATGCTGGTATCTGGCTTGGGACATTGCAATCTGCTTTGAGATCTGGTTTAGGATGCCAGGATCTGTTTTGGGATCTGCTTTGGGATGCCAGGATCTGGTCTGGGACATGGGAATCTGCTTTGCAATCTGGTTTAGGATGCCAGGATCTGGTTTGGCATCTGGTTTGGGACATTGGAATCGGCTTTGGGATCTGGTTTTGTTGGGATGCCAGGATCTGGTTTGGGATCTGCTTTGGGATGCCGGAATCTGCTTTGGGACATTGGGATCTGCTTTGGGATCTGGTCTGGGATGCCAGGATCTGGTTTGGGATCTGGTTTGGAATATTGGGATCTGCTGTGGGATGCCGAGATCTGCTTTGGGATGCCGGGATCTGCTTTGGGATATTGGGATCTGCTTTGGGATACTGGGATCTGGTCTGGGATGCCGGGATCTGGTCTGGGATGCTGGGATCTGGTCTGGGATCTGGTCTGAGACGCCGGGCTCGGGGCTGGGCTCACCGATGTACTCCTCCAGGTCGATGAAGCCGTCGCCGTTCTTATCGATGTCCTCCATCGTCTCCTGCAGGAAGGCAGCGGGGCCCACGTGGTGAGCAATGGGGGGACGAGGTGTGGGGCAGGGGGACGCGGCG